CTTCACGCATAAGGAAAAACATAGGTCACAATGAAATAAATATTTGGCATTAACACATTTGCTTGTGCTTGCTGGTTTAAACGAGAGGTTTGCCATTGCTTGCGGAGAGCCGACCGCTATTAGGAAAAAACTTTTTAGGATTTTGGTCGTACCAGTGATCGAACTCTGGCCTTGCCGAGTGGTAATCCGCACCTCTTACTCTAACACGGTGGTCACACAATTTCGTGGTAGTGGAGGACTTTATTTACCTGGGATTCAGCATTAACACCAACAATAATGTCGGTCTGGAGATCAAGCGAAAAATAACTCTTGTCAACAGGTGCCCATTTGGACCCGGTAGGCAATTGAGAAGCAGAATACTTTCTCGATGAGCAACAAACGACGATGTGGAACAAAGATGAGAAATCTCGGGAACTTTCGAGGAACTATTTTACATAAGAATTATGGCCCTGTTCGTGATGGGAAAGTTCGGAAAGCATGTAAATTGGCACGACTAAAATCTAACAAAATTTGCTAGTGGACACATGCCAGCACATGCACTTGTCCGTTTACAAATAAACACATATTCGTTTACACACATTCACACGCTTGCGCATTTCTTTGACTCTTTTGTTTCCGATTCCATTGTCCAGGAAAAAAGGACAAATATGCGGGTATTAAAAAAAAAACAAATTCAACTCAGCCGTCTTGCGTAGATAAGGCTTATACATACTACAATAGTAGTACATGCCTGAATGGAGAGAAAATTCTTTATATNGGCTCTTAAAAAATCACCCGTTATGTCTATCTGCTGTTTGTGGCATCTTTTGAAAAATTTGTGAGTGTGTAGACACGTTTTGTTAATTTTAGTGTAAATAAATGCCAATGTATACTTTAGTTGAAATTCTATAGCTCAAATAAATAGTAAAACAATTACACAACTACTGAATTTTACATTGACACACCATTGAGAAAAAGTATTGAAGAATCAAATATTTGAATTGAGATGTGCAAATGCGGGCAGATGAGGTGACCTCAATGGTTTGAGAGTAAAGAGGCAGATATGTATGTATTAGGGCGGGTCGATTTAAAAATCGCTCATTGCTCTGTGAAAATCGTATTCTAGGGATCAAAATAAGAAACTTTGCCGAAGGAACCATACCTCTAAAACGAATTCTGATGTCCCCCAATTTGGGTCGAACTTTTGGGTAGGGGCAAATTTTGAAAAATCCCACTTTGACCCATTTAGAGTGCTCCAATCGAGTCCAAATGTATGACCGACCCCCACTAACTTTGGA